CGCGGTGAGGAGGGCTGCCCGGCGCCGCGCACAGGTACGCTTCGACCTCCCTTGGCGTTGCGTGGGTCCTCCGGCTTGCTCTCTGGCTGGGCGCGCAATGCTTCGGGGTTGCTGCGGGCCTCCGGAGCCGGGAGAGAAATTCTGGCGGCTGAGGCCTCCGGCGAGGCGACCCTGGAGTACGCGTGGGTGGCCGCATGGTACGTACTCAGCGGCCAGCTACGGCCGCTTCAGTAGCCGCGTGCCGGTCACGGGTTGTTTCCACTGGGGTCGGATTCACAGTTACCGACCGCAAAATGGGTTTGCGTGAAAAGGCGTCGGACGCGATTCCGATTCCCGTGAAAGGGGGAGAGGTGTAATCCTGCGTGAGTAATTATTTAATTTGCAAAGGATTGTTTTCGCACACGAAGAAGAGGTAACGGTTAAAGCACACGTCTGCAGTGGCAGTGGGCAGGAAGGGCTGCGATGATGCCATACACCCAAGCTTCTGCTGTTTGCGTTTTAACCTTGCTCTTCAATTTACCTGTAGCTAAGCAGTGCGAGGAAACGGAAGGTCTGTTTCGTTTTCTTGATAACTCTCAATCAAAGCAAACATGTCTTGTTTGCCCCTCTTCAAGAAGATGGAACACTTGTAGTTGATATCTGTTGTAATTTTCACCTTCTTGTATTAGATTCTATGTGACACCTGCTAGGTTTGTAAACAATAGAATTTCCTAACTTGAAATACTGCAACTGGAAACATTTTGGATTTGATTGAGGGTCTCTTATCTTGCAGGTTCATCTGACAACTCTTATCTTCGTTGGTGCTTTTGCCTCATCAGCCAAGGAGACGCTATCGCAGTGTTATCCCCATTTGGGAGGTTAACTGAAAAAGTGAAACGAATTTGTGCAAGATAATGCAGGAAGCTTGAGGCAGGGCGAGGAACAATCCACTATCGAAGAATAATAGACCATTTGAATATCTTCCTACTCTTTAACGTTTGGTCTATAAGCACTGCTAAGTGGGGTACGTCATGCTCTACAAGCTGGCACCTTTCAAGATAATTTAATGAATTCCTATCACTTGAAGTTGACACTGAAACTTATGATCGGTCAGGTTCCACCCAAAGGTCAACAAGCAACCATGAATCACCATTGTTTGCTGAGCAGTATACTGATAGCAAAATTATCAAAGCATCTGTGCTGAAATACAGAAGATCAACAAAACTGTTCAAATATGAAACTACCTACCAAAAATGCTAGAAAATCACTGTCCGTATAGAGCTATTTTCAATTGTTTTTATGGTTCTCTGTAGTTAGCTGACATTGCATTTTGAAATTAGGTGCCTTTGGCTTTTAAAAAGAGCATTCTTGCTTTCCTGTACTTCACTCATTTTTCTCTCACCAATCTCTCTGCCCCTATTACTGTCTCTTCCCAGATTACTACCCGCAGACATAGCTATACGAAGAAGGCTAAAGCAGGTGATGTTTCCCATCTGCATTGGATAATGCCTGGTGAATGTTCCTTCTTTTGCAGCGAGGCAGGGGATAAGCACTGCAGTATTATTATTACCTGTGCTGCAGTAGTGCCCACCGGCAGCAGTGCTACTGGGCAGGCATAAAGAGATGGTGCCTGTCCAAGGGAACACGCCGTCTGCTCTGCGGTGCTCCCCATCTGTCTGGTGCTAGCAAAGTGACCTCAGCAGGAGATCCAAGCGGTCACTGCAATAGATCTGCAGCAAGCTCCACATCAAGTTCTGATGTCTTTCCTTTTCCTTGCTTCTACTAGCAGCATGGGAGCATGTGGGTCTATGGGGAAAGAAATGCAATTGACTGGCAAAAGCTCAGATTTTGCAGGTGTCTCTTATAGTTACTCAGGGCTCATTAGATAGCTTAGCACCCATAAAAGTTGTGAAACATGCTCAAGGCAAAGAATTGCAAGAAAGGAAAAAGCAATCAACCAGTTAAAGACCTGCTCCTTCTGCTTTGCATTTAATGTTTTTACTTTTCCTCAAACACAAAGCTTGTAGTCAGGACAGTGATGGACTCTACCTGCAGATCAAAATGGTAATGGAAATAACATCCTTGAATTCCACAGGTCCCTGACCATGTCAAGAAAGGACGTGAGTTACCTTTGGCTGTTATATGCCCTGGTAACGGTAGAATAAACACGTAATCTAAGACTGTCTTTCTTTTTGTACATCTGAAAATGCACACCATCTATTCAAATATGTTGCACTATCCTTTATTAATTAATCTCCAGTAATACACAGTTATTTATTACTGTGGGCCTTGGTCTTAGAAGTATGATACGGCTATAGTGCTTTTCATCTTCAAAGAAAAATGCAAGGAGTCATGTAGCAAAACCCTTAAGGAAAATAAGGGGTAGGTATATTGCCTGACCATAGACAGAAAGTCAGTCATAAAGCAAGATGTTTGTTATTGTAGAGAATGTGGTCACAGAAGTAGATAAGCTCTGTGTAAAAGATATTCCATGGTTAGATAGGAAAAAAACTTCCTTAAGACTGCCCGTCTATTTATTACTTTCTCCTCAACATGTATTAAAAACCCATTTAGCTACTTCATGGGTGACACTGAAATTTATGCCAAGAACTTCCATCTTAGAAGTCCTGACATTCTGTTGTTCCTGTATTGTTTATTTTTCCATTGCGTCTTGTTTTATTATGCCAGATGACTGGTTGAGGTGTCAAAACTCTGAGTTTTAATTAAAAAGCAGTGTGAATTGGAGGAAAAACGTGTACAAGGACTGTATTTTACAATGCGGGGTCAGCATATAACTTTGGTGCCTTCTCTGTTTGGTGTCACTATATGTCAATTCCAACACCTTCTCATGTTTTCTTTGGGTAACTCACTTTTTAGCTAGTCCTGAGAGCAGTGATGGTCATGACACAGAGGTTCATACAGCCCTTCTTTGTGACAGGACAGTCGTCCTATCTCCTATTGTGAAGAGGTTGGTGTGAGGTCTCACTGCTGGTTGATGCATCTTAGAAGTGGGGATGTGGGAACAGAGAGCAGATTGTCTTGATTATTTGCATGTAAAAGAGATCAAAGAAGTAAAAAACCAGGCTTTTAGGCTTTCTTCCAACACCAAGTAGTAAGACCAAAAAATGTGCTATTTCTTTTGAGTTCATCATATTCCACCATCTCAGGAAAACACTTGTAAGGTGCTATAATCAAGGAATAATGGGTGCAGCTGCACTAGTCTTTTAGTTTTGATCAGGAGTGTATTTTTTAAGCAAGCATCATCATCATCATTCCCACTTACCATGCTTTAGTTCACATCACAGAGCAGTTTTGGAGTGTCCAAACTGAATTCCTTTGGTTTGAAACTAAGCCAGAATATGTTCTTCAGATCCCCACCTAATGCAGTCCAGTTGCCACCACTGATGTCCAGTCATTGGGATCAAATAAGAGCCAGCCTGAAATAAACCCCTTTGAGATGTGTACAGCATAGATGCCAGGTTCTTGGCACCAAAGGTTTCAATGTACGGATCTGTTCCAGTTGGTTGGAAGTACTTGTTACTGTGGACATAGCCAATCTAACCTAGAGAGCCTCCAAAAGGAGAGCTACCATCATGTCCCAGGAGCTGAAGATGACAACATGCAGAATTCAAGGACTGCTGAACTTGCAGAAGAAATCTTGACAAAATAGCTGTTCAACCTTCTAGACATCAGTGATTTGAGAACAACTGACACCATCTTTATTGGTGGGTAGAGGATTACAATACTTACTGTTACTTTTGTAGAAAAAAGCTAACATTATAAGAACAACAATATCTACAGCTGCTACTTCTCAATGGATCAGCAATGAAATAAGCATGGATCTGAGCAGCTAGAAATTGCTCAGGTGTCCTCATTACTTAGGATCAACCCATTTTTTCTTATCAGCTCTGATACTTGAAATAGTACGAGGAATGTTATTAATTTTGATATAATCACTTGGGAGTCTGTATTTACAATACAAAATCTAAATACCATTTTTAGTTTTTATGATGGCCTAACCAGGTAGTTGGTCTGGGAAAGTAAAAGGTTAGCCAAGTCTGATCATACAATTACCACAACTACCTTCAGTTTAAGCGTAAGAAGAAACCGTGGCAATTTCAGCACTTTCTGGCAGCTAGTAAGTACAAGAGATGGCTGAAGTTCGAAGAAACTAAAACTCCAAGGAGTCACAGACAGTGGTGATAGTACAATAGTACTGACATTTTAAAAATTAGTTTGTATAAATAGTGCCGAAGAACACCGTTATTTGAGTTAATGACAAGTACAGTGTTTCACATTTATCAACAATGGAAATGGCATTGCCTTTCCTAAAAGCAAGGTACTGAAATTATGTTGCCGACAGATTTTTTTTTTTATGTGCACGCATTTCTCATTTTCACTTTCTGTCCAAAAATACATATTTATTAATATATGAATGTCTTACCTGCCAAGAGTCTTGCTGGCTTTCAGTTGTTCAAAAGGTTTTAGTGCCAGCTTTATTCACTGAATCACAGGATGGTTGAGATGGGAAGGCACCTCTGGAGGTCACTTGGTCCAATCCCCCTGCTTGCAGCAGGATCACCTGCAGCAGGTTGCTCAGGGCTGTGTCTGGTTGGGTTTTGACTGTCTGCAAGGATGGAGACTCCACAGCCTCTCTGGGCAACCTGTGCCAGTGCTTAAAAACCCTTAGAATAAAAAAAGATTTCTTATATTTAAATGGAATTTCCTGTATTTCAACGTGTCCGTTTCCTCTGCATTTCCATTTTCTTGTGTCCATTTCATCCTGTGTGTCAATTTGTGTCCAATATTTTTTCTCACAGCAATGCTTAAAAATAGTTAAAGTATGTTAGTTATCGTACTAGAGTAATGATGGACTTTGCTTACTGGCCAAGAAAAAGTAGGTAGGTTAATTGTTGATGAGAGGACGAAGGTTTTGATTTATGATAATCACTATCCTAAATACCAAGTTGATCTGAAATTTTGTCACTGCAACTGCTGACTGAAGTACAACATGGTCTGGTTTTCTGTGCCTGCACTCCTAACTTTGCTTCTTCAGGTGGTCTGGAGTCAGGTAAGAAAACAAAGAATGCATATTCTTTATATGATCAAATAAGCAATGCAACTTAAGATGAATTTGAGAGGAAAAGACTTATGTATGTTGCTTTTGCAAAATAAGAATTTTGTTGTCATCTGCATGGAAGAAAGAGAAAGATTTCTGTTTCCTTGGGGTCTTAGTGCTGCTATTTTTAATAGGCCTGGCTATACATGGGAAGAACTTATCTTGCATTCCTCATCTAATAAAAATTTCCACTAGTATTTGAAGTAACGTTATCAGAATAGCAAGTCTGGGGTTAGAACCAAGATAAGTATTAAAATTTATTTTGGTACTCCATATTTGAATGGAAATATGATTTTTTTTTGCTCTAATACAATATATTTGATAATGAAATTGATGCCTTTTTAGCCACTGGATATACTTGTAAATGACTGTTCCTCCAATCCAGCTGAACTATTTAATGCCAAAAAAGTAACAGTTGAGGTTTTGTATTTCGTGTCTTTTGTAGTGAAGTGTAGCATTTTGCTCATCTTGTGATAATTTATTGCAGAGGCCAGGAATTTTGGTGGTACACAATATAATTAGTTTGGAGAACAAAAAACAATAGGTTGTTGAAAGCTCATTTCAGCTGTTCATAGCTTCAGGGTAATCTATAGAGTAAGGTATTACTTATTGTGATATTACTTGAGTGGAATAACGTTATCTATTTTATGTTATCCAACTTAACTGTCTGATTCTATGAATCCAGCTCCAATATCTCCCTGCGACAGTCGTATCCCCTTCCTCTCCACTAACACATGCTCATACATCTCCCGAAGTCAAGAGCTCAACCTCATGTCCCCAACTTTCCCATAGTGTTCCTGTATCTGCCACTACCCCAACCCATATTTCTCTTGTATTTCTGCTGCCCATCATGACTACCAGTTCCTCTATTCCCAACCTGTTTGAAACTCAAGTCTCAGCCTTGTTTAGATTCCTCTGCAGGCTTTGTTAAAGCATGTAGTAGGTGATGAAGACTGGTACTAACATCTACAAGCTATCACACATCACACTGACTGGTAATAACCAGCTCCTGTGTGAGAGAGGGGCTTCTAATCACCAGGGCTAATTGTTTCATTTTCATGTGCCTTATGGCCAGGAAGAGCTTCTTTCGTATTTCTGGATGCCAGTACTAAAAGTTATATACTCTGGAGAAAACACTGATAAGTTAGGGTGTCTCATCTAAACTTATTGGCTATACTCCATCTGAAGTCCATGGTGAAGCAGGGAAATTTTCATCGGGTGATTTGTTACATCCTTGAATAGCTGTCCAAGCTAGGTGAGGTGGATCATCTTCTGGAGATGCCAGCGCATCATGGTGGTGCCATACCTATTTCAGGGACAGCTAAATTATGTACGCAATTACTCATTTTTTTCTCCACTGATTACTGAGTGAGTCTACTTACCTTGTTTTTATGTGACTAAAATAGATGAGATGTTTCCCACATGTTCAAGATGCACTTGAATTATTTACCAGTTAAATGTGCTCACAAGCCATGGTTTGACCAACCTTTAATGTAACTTAATTCACATAAACCATGTTGTTTGCCAAAGTTAGGGACTAATATTATAAATGTTCAGATTTTTGTGTGTGTGTAGATTTAAAGGTAGCATTGGTTAGACTAAATTAGATTCCTCTTTGGTATACCGCAGGTAATACAACCTTCCTCTGTGTGTGAGTGTGAATCTGTTGTTTATTTACAAACCTTTTAGAGACTAGAAATGCATCATGTAGGTCTCAGTTGTCAGGTTGGTATTGAGATGGAAGCTGTTACTACTCAAATGAGTAATACTCGTACACAGATACTCCTTTTGAAACTGAGTATTTTGCTGTTGAGATTCACAGGACTGAAGATCTAGTTTTGTTGAGAAGGAAGTGGGAAGGAGTGGTGAAAGGATTCCTTCAGTGTAAAATGTTCAGTGACAGTTTTCAGACACTGAGGACCAACCTGTATTTCAGTAGATAGCTGAATTTGGTATTCTTCAGTCATGGTCTCACGTTTTGGTTTGTGCACCAAAAATGCTGCTGGACTTAGCTACATTGATTTCGGTTTGTGAGCTTTTGCTGCTGATAGAGGAGCTTTTCCATGAGCTAGCCAGTTTTTACCTTTAGCACAGTTATGCTTTCTGATTAGTCGATATGGGTACATTGTAGTTAATAATTATTGAGACCGTAGAAACATTTTACTCTCCATTAATGGTTATAAGAGGATTCAGAATATATAGGTATGATTCTTCTCCTCCATCAACAATCTTTAACAGAAAAGACGATAATGTGATTTTAATCTTTGAATATTGCAAGCTTTACTTGTCATTTTTTTCTTCCACATATAGCTAGAAATCTGTGTGAGAGTGGGAGTTTAAAAGCAAATGAAGTCTTCAAAATGTGTTACACACTTTGCCTGTGTACTTTCAGCTTGTTTTACAAGCTGCACTTTCATTTCAAAACTTGAATACGTCGTCTGGATACTGTCTTATGCATATCCAATGATAACAAAAGGTAATGAGAGGATATATGTGCAATAAAACTTCAGAATGTAAGAGGAGTCTATTGACACTGCAGATTTATAGATGATTTGTTTGGAAAAGATATTTTGCTTTATTAAACTGTATCTGTATACAGTTATATATTTATTCTTTTTTCTGAAGTCCCCATCCATATTTGTCATGTAGGAACGTAAACCTGAATAATACCAGTTAACTCAGTGAAATGTGAGATCAAAACTAATCCTTCAGCATTTGCATCTGCCCAAGTCTGGAAACAGTTTTTCAATCAACTTGGTCACTTTTCCACAATGACACTGGGTTTTTAAGAGTCAGGTATCTTAAAATCTACCAAGTATTGAAACAACCTAAACCTGGGAAGTAAGTACTGAAACAGGGTTGTTTCAGGAGAAATTGGGTCAGGAAACAAATTCTACTCAAAAGTTTTTGTAACCAACACTTCAAGGTCAAAATCCTGCCTTTAGGCTGGGCAAGGACATATGTGGGTGGTAGTTTTCATGAAGACAATTAAGAAGCAGAAGAAGTAGTTGATTAAAAACTTTGCCTGTTTATATAACATTTGGATATTAAGCATTTGATTATGCCAGCTCATACCAATTAGGCATTATCTCTCTTAAACCTATAAATTATAGCCTCCACTTGCTTAGGCAAAAAATGGTTTTCCCTTCTTAGGCAATCAGAGTAAATGATCAAAATCTGACAAAAACTGTGAAGCAACAGTTTGAATTAATTTTAGTTCAGGTGAATCAAAATGATAAAATGAGATTCCAGGCTTTTGTATTTACAATATTTTTTCTGCCATTTGCTGAAGTTTTCACAAGAGAGTCATTTCAGATTGAAAATGAATCTTTCATTAAAAAGCTGAAATGGGACATTCTGACATTTTCAAAGCTTTCTTTCTGAACCTTTTCCAAATGAAGAAATTTTATTGAAGTTTTTTTTTCCCTGCATTTGGTTAAAGTTTTTATATGAATGCTGTCAGTTTTAGGGCACACAAAGTATTTGCCCTTGAAATTGTTCCTATCATTATGTGCCAAAAGTCAGGTCTAAAGAACATGTACATTTGAATCTCTCTTGAATATTCTGGCCATACTATTTTCTTATCCAACATACAGATGGTAGAAATTACCACAATTAATATTCTTTTGGCCTGCATGGACTTGATTTTTGCCGTTTTTCAACATTCTGATCTTGTACTGTTCATTGCTTCTATTGGAGGTTGCAGATGCTTATGACACTGGAAAAGTAAGTCCTGCATGCAAAACTGCATGTACGAAAGATAACAAATTATTTATACGGAGAAAGAAAAACAGTCAAGGAGTGGGAACTATGGTAAAAATAAAAGTAAAAATCCCATCTTACTTTGCAGAATTACTGTTATGTCTTACCATTTGCTCTGTCTGTAACCTATATTGCCAGAGCTCAGAATTTAAGGGTGTTTTTTACCTTCAGTTTGTGAACTTCTTTTCAAACATACGAATGCAAGACTTCTGGTGAGAAATAGGAAAAGCCACCCAGCAACAATTGCTTAGAAAGGCTGTTCATGATTTTGCTCACTGCGTGAGAAACAGTTGTGTAGTGTTATGTCAAGTATTCCAAGCCAGTCCAAAATGAAGCGTCTAGTCAAATAAAAGAGTATAGATTATATTCTGTAGGCATGTTATGGCAAGGAAAAATGTGCTATGTGTATGTCATTATATCTCACTATTGTCTGTGGATTTTACACATTGCAGAAAGTCTTTGAGTTGGTATTGCTTAGGTAAACGGAGTCCAGCTAAGGCACCGGACTGGGGCTGAGGTGACCTGGGCTCTGTACCCAGTCCTTCAAAGACTTGCTGCGTGATGCCAGACCACTCATTCTATTCCCCCATCTTCAGCTTTACGATGGGAAGTTAAACATAACTTCCGTAGGTTCTGTAAAGCTCCTGACTAGTAGCAATCCTTGATTTCATAGAAATAATAGGCTCTTTTTTTCCTGTTTGTGAAGGACCATTCAGCACTGCCTGAGCTGTGAGAGAAAAACGGTTGTGAAAACTCCATAGAAGCAGTATTGAGCGACTTACTTGTTGGGCAGCCTGACATGGGGAGGACACAAAGCTGACACATAAGCAAATAAACATTTCCAGTCAAATGAGGAGGCAGTGGGTCCAGTCAATCCAATGCAAAGCCATGCGCTAAGTGCTGTCAGTTGAGCTTAAATCGCATCTCTAATACTGTTGAGAGAGTAACACGAGCTGCATTTCATTATGTGCCTTTCTAATAATATCTTTTTTTCTTCCCCTTCCCCAGCCTGCTCCAGAGACAACTGGTGAGTTCTGTTTAGAGATCTATTTGTATGCGCGGGAGGCAGTCAACAAAACCAGCTGCTCATAAACATCGCTAGGACAGACACAGATTTATAATTACTGTTATTGTTATTGCATTAATTTTCACACTTCATAAAGATAACAGCAAGGGCTAATGTCCTACCTCACTTGTCTTTCTATTTTTCAGAAATAGATGTAGATGGAGGAATTGATCAAGACATCTTTGACATCAATGAAGGTTTTTTTAAAATTCAGATTCTCTTTTAATTTTTTTTGGAGATTTTTGTTACGGTAGCCACGGATCAATACAATAATTGCATGTTAATCTCCTCTTGCCTTTAGCTTTAGGACTAGACCTTTTTGAGGGAGACATCAAACTTGACGGGGTGAGTTCAAATATAAAATATAAAACCATAAATGTATCATTGACTTATGCAATGTAAAGTATCACTGGCATGGAAATGATTGATGCATCCCGCTCCTACTAACAATAAATGCTGTTTATGTACCAATAGACTGAAAATGTTTGGGGATGGATTTCTACAAAATGTCACAGACAGTGAAGGAGTTGGGTGCATTTGCAGAAACATTACCTAAAATAAGGTCGGTTTAGCTATTAGATCAGTATTATTAGCTTCTTGTTTCCTTTACTATGTTTTTTATATTTGAACTTTTAAGACATTCAGCAGCACTGATCATCATCCGGACAGGTTTATATAAAAGATTCTTCGTTTGTCTGTACAATATTTATTATAAGCCAATTCAATTTACAGACCAGTGCTGCAAAACCTTCATTATATAGGTAGATTCGCTAAAACCAATGGAAAAATTAGATCGGTAATACCACATTTTAAATCATATGTCCAGTATCCCTACCTAATCAATTAAAAAAAGAAAAAAAAATTTACATAGCAAGTTACATTTCAAAAACATCTAGTAGAAACCCCTGAAGTGTCTTGTACCCCTGAAAGTTGGTAGTGTTTTACTCTCCCTTTTGGTGAATTGCTTTGGCCTGAGCATATCAGTGGAAGCAAGGACAGCACTTGCTAAGGGCACAGGAACAAACCCTTGCATTATGAAAAATTACAAAATTATTAATCTCTGTACAGTTTTCAGGGCTTTAGATCTTAACGCTTCCCACAGGAGCTGAAGCTGTCCTCACACATGCATCAAAATCTCAGGTTATTTCTATGGAGAAAATGCTGCAGAAGTTGGAAACACCGGTAGAAAGGAGTGAAGGGATTTCAAACCCAAGCCTTAGACCTTGAGTGGTCTTCCAAAGTTTTTAGGCTCTCTGATTTCCTCTATGTCTTACATGGACTTGTAGGAGACATGCTTTGCTTTAGCACTATTGTAGTCCCTGATCCTAAATCACTTTTTACTGATGACTGCATACTTATTTTCTTTCTCAGATGCAGGAGCGAAACTCCATCATTGGTGACAACTACCGGTGGCCCCACACTATCCCCTACGTCCTTGATGATAGCCTGGGTACAGTATTTGCCCGTGACAATGTCTGTATGTTGTGTTGATTGAAATGTTAAATACAGGTTGATAAAGATACTGTGGCATCCTTTTCTCTTGTAAGTCTAGAGCAGGCCATTTCCCACAGCAGGATTGGGCCTGGGTGTGCAAAAGCAGGATGTATCATCTTGGGGTTGGTGCTGGCTCTCACCTCCTTTCTTGGATGGTTCTTATCCTGCCATTGCTATGGCCCAGCAGATTGATTTGGTTTTAAAAGCATACGTCTGAGACATGCAACTCTACTAGGCAGAAGAAAAAACAGGGCACTGAAGGTCTTTTTAAAGCCAAGAAGCTTACCTGGCCATTTACATCATCTACAGCACTGATGGCAAACTGGAATTCTGGCAGACAATGCAGTTTGCAATGGCACATTGCTGAGTCCCCCAGTGTGGGCCAGGGACGCATCATAGTTTGTCTCTGTGCCTTTGAGTCCACCCGGCTCTGGCTCTGCATGGCAGAGGCGAGTGGTGAGACAGGGAGCTTGCGTTCTTACTGTATACCACATGGGGAGATTGTGCCCTCACTACACAATGTGGGGTCATCTTTCTGGTACATGACAGGGAAAAAAATAAAAAAAATCACCCACCCCCAGTTTAGATTTGGATCTAAAGTGGGTTGAAACCATGCAAGTTGCTTAGAGGAGATGAGATAACTCAGATATAATGTTAGCAGTTCAAGTCCTGGAGAGATTCTGTGAGAGATCTGTAGCCTGCAGTCTGCAATAGATAAAATCTGATGTCTTCATTCCCTATTTATTTAATACTCACATAAATCTCAGCAAAGTAAATGAAATAATTTACAAAATTAAGAACCACGCACTGTAATATTTTATATACTCATCATGTCATATTTTATATACTCATCATGTCATACTTTATACATAAGTACCAAAGAAAAATTACACGGAAACAGAACAAGAGAAAGATAGAATGTCACAACGGCCTAATTTAAGGTTTTAGGTCCCTACTCAGGTCTTAATCCAGCAAAAAGCCTGATTATTTTGATCAAAGATTGCTGGAGAAAGACCCACCTTTAGGATTTGCTCCATACAGACCTATTGGCTCAGTATTGACAAGAACACTATTTGCTTTGCAGAAATGAATGCTAAGGGAGTCATCCTCAAGGCATTTGAACGGTATCGACTGAAAACCTGTATTGACTTCAAACCTTGGGAAGGGGAGAAGAATTACATATCTGTGTTCAAAGGAAGTGGGTAAGAAGAGTAATGTAAAATAACTTTCATCCTGTTTGGCTTCAGGCTATTTTTATGGCCAGTATTTACTCTAAAACTCATGTATCTGATTATAGTTTCGTATTTTTGTTGTGTTCCTTTTTCCAGTCTTTTTTTAACTGGAAATTGTAGCAGTTTCCAAAACAGGTATTACCTTCATAGTAATGAAAAATTTCTTGCTGATACTTATTTTTAAATGTAAGAGGAAATCAAATCCTTTAAGAGGTAATTTTCTTGGCATGGTAAAAGATATCAGAAACAGGCCAATTATTTTCTTGACTGATCTTTGGATATATGGATTATCACTTTCAAATAGTCATTCTTAGTGTACCTTAGTTTTTAGGAAAAAAAAATCCCAGCAAAAATATGGTAGCTGTCACTGTGGGACAATGAATTTGTTTGACTATAACAAATGGAATTGCATTTGAACAACATCACACCAGCATTCAGATATAACAGCAGTATTTTTAAATGCTGCCTAGCACTGAGATATTTTAAAGAGGTTTCACTTTATTTACCTCTTTTGATGAATAGTTATACTATCCCACCTTAAATTTTGCAAAATAAGACCCCAGTAAAGAAGTCAAAAATGCCCCAGCTGCTTCCCTTTCTAAGACAGTCTCTGTCAAAACAGTGCAGCAAGAACAAATATATTCTCCACTCTATGCTGAACAATTTCTCTTTTAGAAAAGGAGATTAGGGAAAGCTTGATAGCCTGGTGAGAAAATTTACTTTCAGAAAATAATTTCCTGAAATGAGAATGCATTCATAAATGGGAAAAGATTTTCTGATAATAAAAATGTTTCCCTTTCCCTTTGGCTTGTTCTGAGATATTTGTAGCAGATAATTGTTTCAAAATTTCTTCAGTCTCTGGCTCTTTATGTTTTCTACTCTTCATGCTATATATGACATTGAAACTCAACCTTAAAAGAGCTATAAGTGGAGACTTAGGGAGCAATGCATTTTCCTGTGCTAATGACTCTTCGGCTTTTTGAGCCAAATGGAAAACTCATGTAGTTAAATTTTTTAGTCCTTTGTCACATAAAGTATGCATTGAATTTGCTAATAATTGTACCTGAAAAAGAACCACAATATTTAGCCTATGGCAAGTAAGAGGCCTCTGCACAATGTTTCATTTATATGTCTGTTAAAAATAGATGAGTCATGGTGATGAAGAAGACAAGTCATTCTAGCTGGATAACATATCTTGCCCTCACTGCCTGGTGTGTCGCTTGCCCTGAAATGTTTCTATCATCTCAGCTGACACGTCCATAAAAAAATTAACGCTCAGCAGCACTTTTAAAAAGATTGGAGCTAAACAGTGCGGTCTTCTGAAAACAGCTGTCCCGTTTCAGTGAGCTAGCTTCAGGCTGTACAAAGAAATTACCATGACTGACCCTGCATTAACTGCCCTTCATTTCACTCCATTCCTCTCTTCTGATGTAATGGGACAAGGTGAAAGGTGGGTAAACCAACCCATTTCCCCTCTGCCATTCCTAATTTTTTTTTTTTTAATCAGCTAGGACTCTCCTAACTGCAGACTAAAGACCTCAGTCCAGAGGGTACAGTGCAGACAGGAGCACAAAGTTCCTGGCAACACCAGCCAGATTCATGAAGTTTTATTGCACCAAGAAAAAGTTGATAAATAGTCTTTGCCTTTCCAATCTTGGCTTGCATCTATAAAACAGACAGAGGAGGTGGGGGAACTTTGTGTCAAAAGGATTTGTAGTAGGCCATAAAGTCCTCATCTAGATTATCTTTTGAATACAAATGAAGTCAGCTGCCATTTTGTTGTGTTGACTGCCCTGTGCAAAAAATACATTTGTAGTCTCTGATGTACGTACACAGTGTCATCAGCCCCACCATGCAGAGTCCTCTCTGTGTCCACATTCTTTATCTACCATTCGCCAAGCCTTGGCTACTGCCTGTATTATGTTAACAGGTGTATATTTATAATGCTAAGTGAGAAGAGGTACATGTAAGGTTTTCTAGCGCACAGCCTTCACCTCACCCTCTATTCGGGTCTATGCATCTGCAGCAGAGGTTAGACCGTGGATCTATTTAAATACCTCTTCTAGACTCCAGCCTGTGTGCTGAGGAAAATACATGAGGGATGCTTGTGAATCACAGAAATGCAGGAACATCAGATGTGGCAAGTGCCTGCAGAGCTCACAGAACAGTCTGGGAACCTGCAATGGATGTGTCATTTCTCCCTACTCTTCTCATGAAGAGCAGGACTCATTCAGCAGGAAAACTAGCATGGTGTGGTAGCGTCAAATGCTTAGCAGACCAGGGAGGATCAATGCTGTCTCTAGTATTTCCACATGGAAAATCAGGTTTTCATGGAGCTCTCCTGGGAGAGCACTTCAGCTCTTTGCCACTGTGGCACACAGCAAAGAGAACCCATGCAGAAGTGGATTGATACAGATCCCTGGCTAACCAGCTTGGTGCTGGTAAGTCAAAGTGTCTGTGTGCTGATACTGGTGATCTCTGATACTGTGGGAAATTATTTACTAGCAGGACATTAGCATAAAAATGTGCCTGAAATAAGTGGCTTCATCGCTACTGATGGCATGCATCTATCTACTTACAGCCCATCTTCCAAAAACAAGGCTAGTGGAATTAATCAGAGCAGGTACTTTCCTGTTCTTCTAGCATCTGATAGAGGAACTAGCAATGCAGAAAGCATTGAATCAGAGGAGATACAGCTCTCACACACTTGAGGAAGCTGGGACTTCCCCCCATTTTCTTTCTTCCTGAAGACACTGCTAATATGGGTTTCCAGGTGCCCATTGCTCTGGAGTGCCCTGTCCCACTTACTTACCTAGTTTTATTCTCAGTGCTTGGCGACACAGACCACGTATTCACTCCCTCTGCAGCTGCAGAACGATGGTTATGTAGGCATTTGGCAGTCTGAAGGCAAGGGGAAGCTGCATCCCCCAGCATTTGGATGCTAATTTTGCCAAGTGTCCTGGATGTGTCTGTAGCCTGCTGTGCACTACGCAGCAGCTGTGAAGCCAGAGGCAGCTGCTTTGTATGAGGTGGACCCAGAAGTGTGATGGACTTCTTAGACTTCTGCACAACACAAGAAAAAGCTGCCTAATCAATATGAGGCCTTGTTCAAGGGAAGCCTGTGAAATTATGGATGCCACATGTGCTCCTTCCCAGGTCTCATGCTGTGATTTTAATGAGTAATCAATAGCCAAGGCCTGTGCTGCTTTGTGGAAAGAGAAATACTGGGGAATATGTTGCGCTAATAAGTTACAGGGTTTGAAAGTGCATGGTGTGCTTGTGTTTTTAAATTTCTGGGGTGATAGGACTGCAAATCCTATGGCATATTTTGTGCCCGATTAATTTTATGGACTTCATTGGGTAAGTGTTGATTTATTTGCTGCATAAAATATCAATTTAAATGTAGCTCTCTGTGCTTGCTAGTTTGTGGACATGGGGTGCCATTTTATTGGCTTGTGCAGATAGCTGACTGACTTTTTTTATCCTTTAATAAAAACTTCCAGCACAGTTGCGGTTTTGCTCTTTCTTGTCAGCGTGTGTCAGCAGCAAGTGCCCTAGCGCAGCAGCTCACAAATAGCTAGAAAGAAAAGAGCTTATGAAAAGCACTGTCAAATCCACCAACCTTTTGGAAGGTAAACACAGCCATGCAGAAGTGTGCCTTGCCTGGCAGCCACAGCCCCTCACAAAGCAAAAGGCCAAAACAATAAAGAGAGAAGCAGCTGCAATGGCAGAGGCGAGAATGTGTATGAACCCAGTTGCCCTTAGGATAGGGACAGGCTCAAAGTGCGCTCACAGTCACATACTGTGGTCCAGCTAAAAATTGTTAATTTGCAGTGACTTAATTACTCTAAATTATGTGCCCATAGCCTTTGATGTTCACCAGAGAACCAACAAAATCCTCATCAGTTTTCTTCTGTCACAAATAGCTCAACATTTTTCTTCTAAAGAAAACCCATTAAAAATAGTAGAGCCAGAGCGGGGGAACTGCTTGTTCATTGAAACAGAGCTAAATGCGAGAGGAAAGGATCTGGTAAGGAACAGATCAATGAAAAAGGGCTCTCTGTAGCAACATGTTAATTCAACGCTCAAGTTAAAAATACACCTGTTGAACAGATTGATTCTGGAGTTCACATGGTGTGGGGATGGTATGTATCTCACAGACAGCCCTCTCATTTTATTTCAATGCTAGCTGCTGGTCCTCAGTGGGAAACCGCCAAGAGGGGTTGCAGCAGCTCTCCATCGGAGCCAACTGTGACAGGATCGGGACAATCCAGCATGAGTTCCTGCATGCCCTGGGATTCTGGCATGAGCAGTCACGGTTCGACCGGGACGACTATGTGTCCATCATGTGGGACAGGATTCAGCCTGGTCAGTTACTCCCCTGCTTTTCCTTTTAGGCTCTGGTGTTAGGGGGTTTAGCTGTGGAACATCCCTTCCAGCCATCCTTCGGTGGTCACACTATTCTCTTACCCGGACTTATTTTTCAAAGCCAGCATATCAATAAATTAAAAATCAAGCAATATCTATCTGGGACAGAAAGCCTCCTTTGTTGTTGCTGTGGTTGTTCCTTGTGCCACGGCAGTTCCCAGAGCCCTAACTAGAGATCTGAGTCCTGTTATGCTACATGCTGTACAGCAGAGCAGCAGAAGAGAATAATTTAGTTTGTTTAAATGAATACTCTAAAAGCACCGTTACTCTGGGACCCCTTAACAAAACAAAATTAAAAACAAAACCACAAACCACTCTGAAAAACCCAGTGTGACCAAAGCCAGTAGAAAATGTCCAGTGAAAACGCCGGTCATCCTCTTTCTCCCTGGCCGCTACACCCGGTGTGGGCAGCAGAGCTGAGACAGCAGAGCATGCAGAGAGGGTGTGCAGGCAGGAGAGACCCCTTTCAGGCTTCCCACCACACGAGTGGTTGCTTTAGCCATGCAGCTTGTGAATGTAAGTGTTGGCGTATTTGGCACAAGCCTGAAAGCTGGCACAGGGTTCCTTGGGACTCTGCTCGGTCTCTGCCTCTTCAGCTTGCCGTCGTCTCTGTCACCTTCAGGCAGTTCAAAACCAAAGTTATAGGTGCAGACTTGACGCTTTCCTAACACAGGTACACACAGAAGACTGAAAAAAATAGATAATGGTTAAATCTAATGCATTCTTATTTAGTTGTGATCAATAGGCAGGTGCACGTGCAAGTATATATTACAGAAAATGACTTAGACTCTGTTACTTGATTTCCGTTATATTTTGCTGACTCTTTAATGACAAGTTGTGCTATTGTTAGCCCTTTGAAATTGCTGCAGCTTTTTTACACTGACCAGAATATAGTTACTGTATTTTGACTAATTTAAAACATTTAAAACTTTACCTTCCATTGGGTAGTTAGTAATGTTTTTTTGCTCATACTCCAGAAAATATCTGTACAGTTAAATTCTGGAAGCTTATCTGATGACAACTTTAACTTGTTTATTGCAAGCTAAAATGACCAGCAATTAAATATCAGAGAATAAAGATTAGAAACCGGGAGGCATTACAGTTGCAAATTGCATTAATTTGAGTACTGAAACAGTATCTCCACTTTTGGGTATCACAAACCCATCAAAGTTTATGGGTAGTTTCATGGGGAAAAGATTTCTGGTAGCAAAAAGCTTTCCTTCATCCAGCAGAAGTCATCATGTTATGTTCCAGTGGCTGAAGGAAGAAAGTAAATAACTCTAGACTAGAAATAAACTAGTTTGTATACAGAGTAAGTACAAGTGAATGACTACAAAAAAATACTTGGGGATCTGATGGATTCTCTGTCACTTCGAGCCTGTACATCAAAACTTGGTCTTCTTGGACAACAAACAATCTTTCCTTTTATTTTTCCTGTTTAGGCAAAAATCATAATTTCATAAAATATGATGATACAATATCAGACTCCCTGAATGTTCCCTATGACTATACTTCTGTGATGCACTATAGCCAAAATGCATTCAGAAATGGAACTGAACCCACCATCATCACTAACATACCAGACTTCATGGATGTAATAGGACAGCGAATGGATTTCAGTGATTATGATCTCCAGAAACTGAACCGGCTGTACAATTGCTGTAAGTTTCTCCACTTCTTTTAATTTTTTTTTGCTTCTGGCATTTGAAATAAATAAGGGCGATACATACATGCTGGACTCATCCAGGCGCAAGTGCAAGAGATGCTATTGTATTTGGAGAGGTGAATTGTGTTAACAACACCAGAAATAACGGTACAGCTAGAAATAACATAGGCCTCCTGCAGAAACACTGCTGTGTAGCAGAGTTTTCTGTGCAATTTTATCTGACCTTTAGTTAAAAACCAGCTTCACTCAGCAGCTGATTTTTGTTCATCCCTTGGGTGGCTGTTTAAAATTTGTGCTGCACAAAGCTTTTTGGTGTCCCCCCCTGCCCTGTTATTCCACAGCTGTTACTCAGATACTGTACAGAAATGCGTATCTTTGCTGTGGCTATCATACCTACCCCGCTCTCACACAATCTGTGAGACAGTGTGTGTGTTCATGCAAATAGGGTACAGATGCTGTTGTGAAGAAAATGTGAGCTTTTGAAATTTGTATTTTTAATTTCAAACCCAGTCTCTTTCAACAGTGGTCAGAGGAGTTATTTTGCTCATGTGGGATTTATTTTGGAAAGTTGGGTGAAAGTAAGAGACAGAGAAATATAGATAATTCTATTACAAAACTGGAATATAATTCTATAATTGGGACTGCATCAAATGTGCCCTGGCACTCAGATGAAAACTTACTTCACTGCCTCAGTATCCCAAGTAGTGAGTACTGGTTTACAATTATATTTTAAGCCTCATTATATAGATACCTTAAATAATTATCAAACCATTTTATTAAAACAGTGCAATTTTTTGAGCATCCGATTCTGATGAAAATATTTCTGTTCACATAGGTCTAAACTGAACACACACTTACGTGCAGCCTTAGCTTCTAGCACTTGGTATACAGTCAGTTAGATGTTATAGAAGTACTTACAGCTAAGAATATCTTCAACAGTGGATGGGGTCCTTCTTCCCCTCCATTAATCTTATATACGTTACAGCATTCTCATATATTACATAAATACTTCATGATATTTTAACTTCATTCTTAACCCGTAGGCACATTCCCCAAGTGAAACAAGCCCCAGTCCTGTTGAAATTAGTGACAAAACAGCCACCACCTCCAGTGCAATCAGGATCTGCCCCGCTCCCCAGTCTGTCCCTTGGCTTTGTATGGTATGCACGATATTCGCAGAGCCATAAGTGGTCTTCAGATCACCCATGATTTGCCTAAGTGGCCCCTGTGCTCGGGAGGACGGGTGCTTCACAGGTCCCAGCCCTCACCCACCCGGCTGCTAGACTGATCCTTTCAGGTTAGATGGAAGACTGAGAATGCCAAACATGGTTTGGATGGCAGATATCCTCCCAGAGGAATCAAAAGATTAATTCTGTTGTTGAACATGACTTAAGGAAAAGTTTAAGCTGAATTTCTGCTAAAGGCCTGTGTGATTAGGAAATTGCATTAAAAATGGGAAACTTGGTTCTCAAATTGAAAAAAAACAACCCACTGCATAAGAAATCCTGACTGATACTTCAGTGCTGTTCTGATCTCTTCTTCAGAACTGTCTTTCAGGGCATATGACAACAGTAGATTTTAGTCTGCTTTCCCCTTCTAGCGTATTACTTAACAGAACTGACCATGAGGTTTTCCTCAGCCACTGGACGTTAGTACTCAGAACTCATCCCCATGTATTTTCTTCCAAGTCCAGCCTTTCACCAAGAAAGTATCTGGCTTTTGGTGCAGGTGGAGTTAAAAACCTGCCTCAAGCAGTGCCCTCTTCCCCTGTTTCATGAGTTTCATGAATTAATCTAAGAAATACATCGTAAGCTACTGGGTCTTGCTTTTTTCTCTTCTGGTCGTTCAGGTCACCGCTCCATGCCAGCCAGCATTTTCTAATTAAGGTAGTTAGGCTACCTTCTTTCCTGTTTGGGAAAATTGATTTCATATTTTGTTTTATATTTTGATTTCAAATAGCTCTTTCATCTAATAATTCTCTGGTTTTCTTGCCTTCTTGCTGACACCCTAGCTGGGTTGGTTTTTTTTTTTCTTTCTCCAGCAGTCAATATAACATTCACTGTGAAAATCTCTTCTTGGTTTTTAACAACATCATACCAATACTGTACCTTAAAGGTATCAGTCATACAACACTTCTGATGATAGCCTTGCAACCTCTAGAGGATTGTTAACTTTCTATGAGGACAGTACAAAACATCTCAGCAGTACAACTGATTTGGCAGCGGTTCATACTGAAGTGCTTCCCTGAGCTACAGCTGAAGTGAAGCATTTGGCATGCCATTGAGGTTGATTTTTGTGATACTCAAGGTCCTTTTTGTGGTGCAGTTAAACCTTTAAACCTGCCACAATATTTTACACATAGTTTGAAAAGCAATGGGAAACAAAACTAATAACAGGGATAAACGTGGACTGTGTCTTCCCTCACCCATCCAGGGTTTGCTTTAGACAGAGAAAACATTTCATACAGTGTTTTTCCTTTCCTATTCAACTGCACAGTCTTCCTTCACTTAATTTTTCACTTGTTATATGCAAGACATTTTAAAAAATTCTATGAGATGAGATATCCACTGGCCCCAAATGTACCTTTGCCAATGTTTTTTTCAATTCAGCATTTTGAAAATCAAGGTTTGCTTATTGCAGTGAAATAACTTCTGCTCTACCATATTTCAGAGTAAGCACTCCAACTGATATGTTAGTGAACTTTTATCAAAATCTGTGGCCATGTGTGGACTGGCCCAAAGAAAGCAGAGGAATGAGTGGGAAGTCTCAGGACCTCTTGACTATGTGAAGGTTGGTGGGTTGGGGCTGGTATTAGTGTTCCTTTTATAAATAAAAGATGTGATATGATAATTAGCTGGCACCCTCCTGTGCTTGCTAAGTGCCCAAAGTGGTCCTGATGACATCTTATTAATGTCAGTGTTAATCGCCAAATGCTTTCAGTTTCTGAACATCATACCTATGAATATTGATGGTATTTGAAGCCACTGATTATTTGGTGTCTGCATTTAGTTTTCTCTGCTCTTGGCTTTGGACATTCAGAATTAAAATGATTAAAATGTATGTCATGTAATAGAGTTTTTGTTTTTTTTTTTTAATGTTATAGCCTCCTCCCTAAGTTTCATGGATACATGCAGTTTTGAACTTGAAAATATATGTGGCATGATTCAAAGTTCAGATGATAACAGTGATTGGCAGCGTTTGTCTCAGGTTCCTGCTGGGCCAAATACTGATCACACTAATATGGGAGAATGCAAAGGTATGAGGAAAAAACTGTTCTTATCTCTCTGGGAAGTATTTTCTGCAGAGGCATGCAAGTTGACTTCGATCTTGGCCTTGTTCTCTTTTTATCTGTTGACAAATTACAGTTTATTTTTTAACGAAGCAACATAAATCTACATACTTAGGGACATCATGTGATACGTTCGATTTTCTCCTTATTTGAGAAGATTGAATGTCCTTATCTCTTTTGATCTGTTTTCTAGTTTTAGTGTCACATCCTGATACGAGAACTATATAACATTTTCTAATCTATAGTACAGGCACACCAGAAAGACTGCTGCTTTTCTGAATAATTGCTCAGTAAGTCTTTGGAAATGATTGGGATTTAGAAATTATGTATATTATGAGGGCTCAGGTGAACAATTAATTGAGAATACAGTGAGTTGTGTCTGAACCTGTCAGAGAAAATTGCATGAGTTCAGGAGCTTAAACCAGTCCTCCAGAGAGAGAGTCAACTGTGAATTACTAGCACAGGGTAAAGAGAACAAGCCCATGCTTTTGAGTACAAATTGCTAGAGAGCGCCAAATGAGGAGAAGAGTTGCAAGAAGAACAGTTCTGCCTTGGGACAATGTGAACAGGTAACAGTCCTCAGTCTGAGGATTTGTACAGGAACTACCTTACCCTGACTTGACCATGTCTCCTAGTGTTACTACAGTTCAGTGTTAAGAATACGAGTACGCCAGGAAAATTTTGTTTTCTCTCTCCTTTACTGTTCATTTCTCATTGACTTTTGACAGATTCTGGCTACTTCATGCATTTCAACACCAGTGCTGGAGCAGAGGGAAGCATAGCTATCCTGGAGAGCCGAATTCTGTATCCCAAAAGGGGCTTTCAGTGCTTACAATTCTATTTCTATAACAGCGGTCATGAAAGCGACCGGCTGTATGTCTGGGTCAGGGAGTATACTTCAGCCCATCCAAATGGTACTTTGAGACTCATTGAAGAGATAAAAGGTATGGAATAAAACTGCATTTTGGTTTAATCTATATGCAATATCCTTTTCAAAGTACTGGGGGAAAACACTGTAGCAAAGTGACTCATGTCCTAGGGTTATTGTTTGGCTTCTTCTCTAACTACGTAATTGATTCTCTGCTGGTGAAATTGTGCTTGATGGATCCTCAGTCAGCCATTTTCCTAGAATATAATCAATTACCACAAATTACAGACTCTTAGGTTATCAATATAGTTTTCTCACCAAAATAGCTAAAATTCCATGAGTAGTCGTTTTAACTGTTCTAGAATTGCTGGTATCAATAGCAACAGATGAAGTTGGTCATTAGAGTAAATTACAATGAATAAGAAAGTAATAATAAAGAAATGGAAAGTGTAAGTTCATTCCCCAGAATACCTAACATATAAGTTTAAAAAAGATAAATAAAATTTAGCTTACTTTTTAAACAAGGTTTGAAATGACTTAACTGAAATACATGGGCAGCAGATCATGATTTGAGTGGTAGTTTGAAGAAAATTAAGTGGTTTTAGGAGCCTATAGCCTACAGAATGAGCAACTGAGGTCAGTTAATGGACAAGACCTCTTTAAGCTAGAATTGCCAAAGGTATCTTATGATTAAATTACTTTCTCAAATATTTAACTATTACTTGGTCTCCTTTACAGCTACAACTAGTTCAATCTTGTGGTTACATAAGGGTCTGAGCAAGTTCTTTTGCTAAATAGGTATCAAGTCCACTCTTCTGCCTCTTTTTGTCCCTTTAGGCTCAGCTACTGCTCACGCCTGTTTTTCTTTTCTTTTTTTCCACTCTTTTCTTCACCCTGATGCTTTCATCATCCCTGTGTGCCGTCAGGAATCCTTAACATATCAGGGCTGCTGAGGCAGACGTAGATTTCCGATCAGTCTGAGCCCTCCAAACCCTTTTGAACCCTACTTTGAAGCCAAGATTAATTTCTCCACACTTCAGCCTTCTTCACAAATGCTCTTTCATGTATATTAGGTCCCATCTCCCATTCCTGCTTTCTCAAGTCCATAATTTCCTTTTAAGTCTCTGATCTCGTATGTGTGTCCAAATGGGCACCCTACTTTGACAATCTCTGGTAAAACTTTCAGGAATGGTTTAAGATTAGTTTTTCCCCAAGCTGTTTCACTTCTCTCATGTGAGAAGTTACCCTCACCAGTGCAGTCAACAAACTGGAAGAAACAGTGACACTACAGCCCTTTCCAGCCATGATCTAACGTGCTGGCTGAGCTGCTCATGGGTTTGCACTGAACCCCCATGCTCAAGAGGCTGAGGGACAAGCCCTGAATCCTTTCTGCTGGACTGTGGCAGCTGTAGCTGCCTTCAGCTGGGAGCAGGGGAGGCTGTGGGAGCGGGACATTTTACAGCACAGGAGCTGATCTGCTCGTTGAACGTGAGTCAGAAACCCCAGTCTTGCATATCATCTGTGCAGTTCAAAAAGCCTTTAGTTTATGCAGAAGGCAATTGAATGGAAACCAGTGGGGTGGTTTTGTTCTTGTTTCTGGGTTTATTTTTTTCCCTCCTAATTATAACGGTAATGAAGAATGGCAAGAAATTAAGACTTATATCTGAGATCCATTGTGTTGTGTTTAGAATCATTAGGGGAGTGAAGCGTGAATTCTGTACCTGGGATTGGCACCGCTTATTCCATAAATGCAGTTGAAAGTCTGGTCTTCCATGCTGGTGAACATAAACCAGGCAGCAAAAGAAACTGTTTTGCTGCCCACACTGTTAACGAAGGTTGTCTTACCTTCACCTGCCTTACGAGGTCGCTGTGCAGAAGTATCTGCTTTTGCGTACACTGCTCTTGGAGTCAAGTGGAATTTGCTAGTGCAGGCACTTTTGGATGCAACATCAGCCTTGCAGTGAGTTTTTATCACATGAAGTAGGTTTTGCAAACGACTGGCTTTAATTTGAACTTAGTACCATTAATCATTTGATGGGTGAATAGTGCTTCTGCATAGGCAAACTTCCAACAAGCCTTTTAAATATACAAATCTTGTAGTTCTAGGCTCCCAGAATCCTCTGTAGCATTTTTTGTTGAGACATGTTGTTACTTGGTTATTTGAATATACTTTTGTCTGATTTTTTTTTCTTTTTAATAATAGAGGTGACAGCCATCTTTGTGTATTTAATTATCACAACATTTATATTAGTTTAATGCAGTGTTCTTTAAAACTATAAAAGAAAAAGCAGTCTTAAAAACCATTAACACTGTTTTCACTCAAAGAGCTGCTATGCATATTAAATCTGTTGAAAAACTGCACTGAGAAAATATGATCTTGCAGTGAAAATGTAACATCTACAGGAGAAATATTCCATCATGTCAGTACCAGTGGAAATGAGAAATTCTTACATAGTGTTGATATAGGATCTGTAGACCTGTGCAGTGTTTGACTCTATTGCTTACTCAGAAATCCCTACCCTTGTTTTTCAGGTTCACCTGCGAGTTACTGGCAGCTCCATCACGTTTCTTTGAGTGTCACAAGTAAATTCCGGGTTGTGTTTCAAGGCATGAGAGGAAGTGGCTTATCAAAGGGAGGCCTCTCTATTGATGACATCAACTTGTCAGAGACTCAGTGTCCCCACCACGTCTGGCATATCAGAAATTTCACACATCTCCTCAATACAAGTCCAGCAGGGACAGCAGGAAGAATATACAGTCCACCTTTTTACTCTAGTAAAGGATATGCTTTTCAGGTCAGCTTGTTTGTAAATGGTACCGCCAATAACCCATTTAATTTAGCAATGTACTTGTACTTGATTTCTGGAGCAAATGATGACCAATTGCAATGGCCCTGTGCATGGCAACAAGGTACCATGACTCTGCTTGACCAGCATCCCGATATTCGACAACGGATGTCAAACCAAAGAAGTATAACAACTGACCCTCTGAAATTATCAGGTTAGTTAAAATCAGACGCGCTATTCAGCCAAAAGATAAGGAGTCAAATTTTCTGTTTGTGTACATTAGTGCAGGTTTCTTTAGCTTCTGGAATGTTTCATTTGTTTACAGCAACGATATAAATGATCCACAGAAAAGAAAAAAATTGAACATACAAGTAGGTTAAGCTGGGACCATGGATTTCAAAGTTGATTTGCATAAGAAACAGGTGGATGATCCACTCCTAAAATTTCTTTCATATGCTCTGTGAAAATGCATTTATATCTGCTTTAATGAGAATGGAAGTTTTCCAGGAAGCTTGAAAGGAAAAATACTGAATTAACAATATGCAGAGTTCAAACCAGATAAAAGTGCAGCTATTAAATCCCCTCCCTTCTTGTAAAAGGTACAGTGGTGTCAGCGCAAATCTCCAGCTGCTCAAAGTACTGATTCATATTATGTAATCTGTACTCGTTCAAGGTATGAGAAGATAAGGAGCAATTGTCCACAATAACTTGGAAAGGAGGCAGTTGAGGTAAAGATGTAACTCTGAGAAATGGTAGGAATCTCTATAAAGAGAGATATTAGAGAAACCCCCTATATTCATCATTGGATAAAGTTTGGATTTAAGCCAAAATGACTTTCTGCATCAATATAAGGGTTTTGTCAAAAGAAACCACCTTCACCACTGAATTAGTTTCCTGGGCTTTCAGACCATAACATTAGTCAAGGAAGGAAGGCACAAAAATGTCTAATTCACAGTATTATTTTTAAAATTTATGATTTACATTCATTTTTCTGTGACACTGTCTCTACATGAAAACAATGTGGGTAATCTAGAAAGACTAAATTGTCTCCCCTGTAAATGAAAGGTGCATCACACCAGGTCCTCCATAGATGGTTGATATTTTCCCTGTGCTCTCTGCTATTATGGCCACAGTGCTCAGCCCTTTTTCTTCCCTGACCCTGTGGACGTGCAGTCTGTTGGCACTCTGCTCCTTCTCCCTCGTTTATTCATATATTGCTAGTAGCCCCAGATTCCCAAGAGAAGCCTTGAAACTCCTATCCTTTCTCTAACCAGCAGAGGTGTTGGAGCAGGCAGTTTCTTCTCCCTCTGTCAGATACTTCCATAGGCAACCAGGCTCAGCTTTGAGATTTAGAAGAAGGTTTGATAGAGGGGACATCAATGGCCTGTGACAATTCGGGTTGTTCAAGTACCCTGTGCCCTACATCCACATCAAGAGATGCCTCTTTTTTGAGAAGCACCGAATTAATTCATTTTACATATGATTCATGTGCTATTCATCTTCTTGCCCACTGTGCTTTAAAAGAACTAAAAAGACAGTACAACAGGTTGTCAACTAGCTCTCCAGTAACCTCATCTCCAGCAGGCTCTTTTCTCAATACCTCAGGCTAAACCAAGCCATTGAAGATCTCCGTTATCTTGTGCATCTCATCATTATGGAATCTCAGGCAAAAAAATCTGCAAATATTGTAGGCAGGTTCAGCACTGCTCCTACTCTTTGAATTTCAGGTAATTTATTGTCTTCTCCATATTCATGAAATCCATGAGCAACTAAGCAGAAGCAGGCAAAGTAGGACGCGGTCTGTCTTTGTTGTTGAGAGGAAGGAACCCTATTGAGAAAGAAATTCAGAGTGGTCCCACACTCACATTCAGTTGCTTGCTTTGGGTTTTTTTCCCCAGATTCCTCATCAAATTATTTTTGGGATAGGCCAGATAAAGTGGGATCCGTAGCAACTTTTCCCAATGGAACCAGATTCATGAGAGGTCCAGGAAGTGGAACAAGTACATTTTTAACTCATCAGAGACTTAGAAGCCGCAACTTTATTAAAGAAGACAGTGTTTATATTCTTTTAACAATGGAAGGTATGTAAATATAGCTGATATTCTTTACGATACAGTAAACATGGAGTGTCACATACTTACTAAGTCACTAGTGCTGTAGATATAAATACACATGATGTACTTAGCAGATGAGCAGTTTTGGAACTATGCATGTATCTAAAGTCAGATCATATGTTTGAATAAATTTGTGGATAGGTACATGCACTGTATAATTCCTTTATCTCATGTGAAGGTATATAAAGTGATGCTAATCCTGTGCAAATTATTTTGAATAGAGTACTTTGAATAAAATTGCCTATTTCTGAAAAAATCTAGAGGACATTTCCAAAATACATCATGCTCCTGAAAGGTAAACCAGACTATTTATCCATTATACTTGTGGACAGGCTCTTTGCTCTTTACTATTAGAACTTATCATTAGAATAAGAGGAAAAATAACAGGACGTAAAGACCTTATTTCTTGTGGTTTTATCATGCAGATATATCACACCTACTATCAACTCAGCCAAGTGTTGCACCCACCTTTGTTGTGAGTACGCCCAGTGCCAACACCAAGCCTACCACTAGGTCTACCACCACCACAACACCTATCACAACAGCCTCTGTCACCCTGACCGAAAAGCCAGAGATGGAGGTTCCCAACTACTGCCCAGACAACCCTTGTGAAAATGATGGAGTCTGCATTATAGTAGATAGAGTATCAGTGTGCAGGTAACTGTCTTTATTCACTCTCAAATGCAATTTCAGGATGAGTAATGAAAGTTTCTAGTAGAATAAATCTTTGTTCCTAACGAGAGGAAAGACTATAGCTGATTAAGGCAAATATTTCCAATGGCTACTGCAAGACTAAACTTATGATCAGTTTGGGCAACAAAGCTCCTAACCTCAGCATTTGACCATTTTGAAGTACTCTGCTTGACTTTTCTGTAAATTATATTTTAAACATGTTTATCATTTTCAGTAATGTATTAGTCCAATGTTATAAAATGGACTGTGCATCTCCTTAGAAGTCCCTATAGCAAAATTTAGAAGAGTTAAATATAAATGCAGTTGAAACAAAAGAGCATTTATATCAGTAGGCAAAATGTTTAATACTTCTCAGGCAGGAAGCAGCACAGAAATTTTAGAATTTGATTCAGAAATATCATGTAGTGCAAATTATGACCATGAATTACCAGAGTGTAGTTGCTTGCCTTTGAAACCAGCAATGAAGGCTGAGGACTAAAAAGATTGTTTGCTCTGCAAGAAAATTAATAACAACTTTTATTTAATTCGCTGTGGATAGATTTATGTAACCCACCTGGCTGACTAGCATTGTTCCAGCTCTCAAACAAGCTTTAAGGCTGAAGATAGTAACCTTATGTGATGCTGTGCCAGGGCAGGTAGACTGGGGGAGTGCTGTGAGGCAAACACCTAAATGCTGAGAGCAACAAGACTCAGGACGATTCATTAAATGTTATATCTCTCCATTTAGAAACCTTTTAAGAAACAATTCTTGTGCAACCCATCAGAAGCAGGTCACAAATATGAGTAAATGTCATGAAGCTGTTCCAAGAAGACAAAAAAAAGTTAAGCTGAATGTTATGCCTGATTTCGAAATTATGGAAGGAGAACATTTATTTTCTGACATCTCTGGACTATTTGAAGCTCTAGTGCCTATGTAACCTACTTTCCATCCTAGAGAAGTGTGTGACGAGCAGTCAGTTTCCGCTCCGATTTTGTATTGGGAAACGAGGGGGAATGTGATACAGAACTCTGTTTAAGCTGGATCACATTAAGTCCCCCGATGGTCAGTACCTTTGCAGCGCACTGCAAATGGACTCATTTTCAGGGTTGAGGGTAGTTCTGAGTAAATGGCTTAGGAACTAGAAAAACAATACATAAGAAACAACCAGGGTTAGAAAGATAGGGACAGGTATGTGTTCAGCGGTACTGCACATATATTTTTTTTCAGTTAGATCATTGGGACCCTCATATGCTCACTATAAAAAGGTTCAGACCTGATTGTGATGCTGAATAAGGTGAAGGAATCAAGGCTTGGAGGTTGTTTTTAGTCCTAAAACCAGGCAGCTGCTAGGATCTTAATTTCTTTTCTTACTGTCTTCTTGGGGGAGGGCAGAGGCAGCTCATACAAGTTCTTTAAATTTGACAATAAGCCCCTTCTGGCAATGAGAAGGTCTGATCAGAATATAGCACATCTACTAGCGGAGAAGCACTGAGCAGGGAAAGGGGAATATGGTGGGAACACCTTCGGCTGGCTCAGTCCTCGACCCGGGGAATTCCTGCACCTGAACTTTGGTTCAGCTGCTGTCTGGTCAGAGGTGCCTTGAGAGTCTGGCCTGTGGCCTCCATCCCATTTATCTCACAGGTTCGCACTGCTGCATAAGGTGAGCTTAGAATTAAAAGCAAAGCACACATGAGGAAACAGGTGGATGAAGTTTTCTGGAGGGTGGTAAATGTGGCTTGATTGGATAAAAACAGTAGTGTAAAGCTTCTGGACTACTTGCCCTAGGAGCTTATTCAACTCCTTATAAAGGATTTTTTAAATTGACTGAGTGAAGAAGATAGAAGAGCTTTGTGTAAAAGCTGAGCATGACAAAAGGCAGAACTGCATCAGGATACAAGGCTAATTAGTAATAGTTGAAGCAAATATTACATGACAGTGGTCCTAGTGACAGGTATCAGTTTCATGCAGCAGAAAGTGAGTTTTCTATCAACAGAAGTGCTATAAACTCCAAGGAAAAAGCAGCAGATAAGTGAACTGACTGATCCAGACAGCATCTCTATTGGTAGCAAAAGACAACCATTCTGTAGCAGCAGCTCTATAGATCAGCTGCAGCCAAGCGTTAAGCAGTCAAAAGGATCAGAATAGCACTTGGGATTTCTGGCAAAGGCTCTCTGTAAAGACATGACCTGTAAAAGAGCAGGAAGCTGAAAGAAGCACATCTGGATGTGTAAGGACAGTGGTCCACTCAAGACAACTTTAAAATGGAAGTCCATTTTAAGATAACTTCATTATGCCTTGGGATATAGAAACAGTACATCAGAGATGCCATTTTTCTTAAGTAGACCTTTTCATGCCTTTAATCTTTAGGTGATAGCACATGTTTGTTCTTTTACTTTCTAGATGTCCAGCCGGTGACAACTGGTGGTACATGGGAGAAAAGTGTGAAAGGAGAGGCTCCACTCACGAAAATACTGTAATAGTTGTTTCTTCAACCATAGCTGTGTTTGTTGTAATGCTTATTGTCACTATCACAACTGCAGTGTGCCTTAAAAAGAAATACAGCCAAGGAAAGGAAGATATGGAGAGCCTGACTCTAGAAGTAGTAAGTATTTTGCCTCTTTCAACAAATATGTACACACATACATGTATCTCTCTATATTTGCTAAAAAGTAACAATCAAATTCAGTAACAAATAAATTGGAAGATGTCACATTTTTGAAGTCTGAAGACTCCAGCTTAGGAATTAAAGAGCTCCATTAAGTGCTTCTAATTTATTAAACACCAAAAAGCCACTTCATTCCAAACCTGCTCTCCTCCTTCACTCCCCCCAATCTTAGTGCCCCAATGGTAGCCTACATTGAGTGGGAGAATAAAGGGGCTCATTTTCAATTTGTAACTAAACTGTGTTTTCTGCTCATCTATTACTGCATTTTCTACTAAAGATCTCCCCTTAAAACACCTGGATATGGTGCTAAAAAACCCAACCCAAAATGTCAAAACGAAAAGCAAATCTAAAAATTCCCTATTCAATAGCCATTTTTTATGCAAGGAACAAATCAGCCATGGAAATAATGACTTAGGGAGAGGTAAAAGAAGACAGCAGGTTAAAATTATCTGAATGAATGGATCAGAAAGGCCATGTAGTGAATAGCAGCAGCATTTGGGCAGGTTTTGATAGGAAATTTCACAAAGTCCGAGGCACATGGACTCTTAGTTTAAATAGAGACTTAAACTTGGAAATAGCAAGAGTGACATAGCTTAGAGGGACTCACAAGGCCCAGGAGAAATTTTGTAAGCAAATTGAGGAGGAATGGCCTTCCAGACAGCAGAGTTCCATTTTTAATTTTGTACTAATATTCTTTGTATGATATCCTGTTGAGGTCCAGTACTTCTGTGCAATGCCAGATACTTGACACTGTTACTTTATGACTTTCCAATAAATAATTTTGGTTTCTTTGCAAGTAACGCTCTTACATTATACACATACTTCCCTTCCCTACACACTTTTAAAATGTGGGTTTGGTATTTTTTTGTTCTTCCCATTTAGAATAAAACATCCTTCTGAAGATAATGCAAACAAGCATCAATGACACAAGATGAACATCACTGGAAAACCACAATGACATCATCATTATTTGTATTATTTTTGTCTCAACCATCACAATAAAGTTTTGTAAAGTAAAATACTGTGCTAAAGTCAGTGAAGTGTCCGACAGTGTTGTATATCACTATGCAGTGGAGAAAAATGGAAATATGTTGTGTGATGTGCCTGCCCTGTCCTTTAAGTCTACCTGAACATGAAGAAAATGTGTAAAACTGCACCCTGACTTTCAATCAACACAGTGAAGTCTAGGTTTGCTATCTTATCGTGATACAGATGTCTATAATAAAAGGGAGCTGGACCCTGTAATCGTGGGGTACCCAGTGGTTCTGAGTCATGCAACAGCTGTCAGTCAGTCGTGTGAGGGTATGTGGAGTGTGGGAGCATCTGGTTCATTGAGTTATTTGGTTGTGATCTACTCACAAGTAATGATGAAAGTGGTAAATTAGCCACACAGACACACAAACATTAATGAGGAATTCACAACAGAAACAATAATGAGGACCCAGAACACTTCAGCCACTGACTGATGGTCCGTTAAAGGAACTACTCAGGCAGAGCCTTCAAGAATGTCAATGTGAAGAACAATTTTTTACTGATAGGAAGGGGGAAACATGATTAACATGAGTATTATGGGATACTGGAGGCTGATTGGGATATCAGCTATCAGAAGAGGCTTGTGGACTCATGTAAAAATGACTATGGGGTGTTTAGGGGAAGGGCCAAAGGATTCAAAGAAAAGGGGAAGGATCACGGTGGATCAGAGAGGAGCTAGTGTGGGAAGACGGTGTCAGCAACTGGAGAGACTGCCCTGAAAAGAGATCTGTATGCCAATGAACAGAGGAGATCACAGGTGTTAGGGCTTGTAGGTCTAGGTACTAGCACATGGAAGGATTGGCATGCAGTAACTAACTGGAGGGACTGTGGACCATGGGACTTGGGCTGTAGGGCTTGTAGGTCTAAACACCAGTGACCAGAGGGACTGGTGCATTTGCGCTGTATGTGTGTTGAAAGGTCTGAGTGCCAGCAACTGGAGAAGAGGCCATGGGCACCAGGTCTGTAGGTCTGGGTGGCAGCAATTGGAGGGATCAGGTTGTGTGTGGATGTGTAAGAGATCTAAGTGCCAGCAACTGGAGAGACCTGGGTGTGTTTATATTTCTTCAGTGAATTTAATCCTCTGTGTGTATACGTATAATTCACTAGCAGACTTCAAGCTGAACTAGCTGGTGAGTTGGAGGAAACATTTCCACATCTGGAGGACTTGGTCTGAGCCAGTGGTTGGGGTAAGGGAGGCCAGGGTCCAGGCATGGATATTAGGCAGACTGAGAGCTGAGAGCCCATGGTAATATTCAAGGGATCTGTTATTGTGGGAGTGCTTATGTGATGAGTGTGTGAGCGTATGCATCTGTTTTGCTAGCAAGCATCACGTTGCTCTATCTGGCAAGTAGGAGGTGACCTGCATACCAGTTAAAGGACCCCGGGTCCAGGCATGGATATTAAGCAGGTTTAGAAGCCACATTCAAGGGGGCTGTGAATGTGGGTGCGCTTATGGATGTGGAGATCGAGGGCATACGTGTTTTCACCAGAGAACCACCATTCTGATCGGCTGGAGGGGAGGAACAGGATGGGGCTCTCTGCACTTGTGTGAGTGAGTTTGGGCAGCATTATAGGTGGGTTGTGCTACCTGCGCTGCTCTGTGTGTGTGAGACTGTCTGTGCGGCCAGCCGCATTAGGGACCTGTGTGTGCGTGTGTGTGAGAGAGTGTGACTCTTGGATACGCACTCAACCTTGCTACAGGCCAGACCTGCAAGCAGGAACAGCAGCAGCTGCATCCCTGGGACTGGGATGGAGAGATCACCTGGGACCGTTCCTGGCTGGGCACATCGGCTGGGGAGGAAGGATCCCAGGTCTGTTGGATTTGGTGTCTCCCTTAACACCCTTGGTAAGGAGGGCTACAACTCAGTGGGATTTGGAGAACAAAGTAAGCATGGAAATAGGAGAAGGGCCAGAGGAAGCAAAGTGTGCTTCACTGAAGACACTTTGCGGAGGAAGATGGCAGTCACCATGGGCACAGATCATCACATTTGCACTGTTTTGGAGGGGGCCTGCAAGAGACAGGAGTGCCAGTAATAGAAATGTCAGGTCACACCAGATGGTTGGTAGACTGGTATGTGAATATGTTCACATTTAAAGGTCAGCAGCTACTTTGATTCCCCAGAATGGATGTTGATGATCATAACATTTGTCATGCAATTTACCCTAACTCTGGGCGAAAGCAGTTCAAATGTATGGAAATTTGCTGAGGGAACTAGTCTTCCTCTGAATGCTACTGCATGGCACAAAGCAACAAATGTGTACGCTTCTGTACCAACATTACATACGTAGTCCTCCTCTGATTAATATTCTCTGAAATGTAGTTATATTTAAAGCATTCATAGCTGGTTTTATTAGCTTTTGTCAGAACCCAAAGATTCATGAAAACAGCCAGACAAAATTAACAAAAGATTTGTCAGAGCTAACAAACATCCTGGATAGGAAGATATCCTACTATAGATGTCTTAAAATAACTTTCCTATTTTGACATGTCTTCATCAGCAGTTTTCATGCAAATAATCATCCAAATGCGCCTTCAATTAAGATATGCACATAGATTTACATGGAGTTAAGAAGACACAAATGAGACTGTTCATAAATTCAACCCTGGCTAAAATACTTAACATTATAAAAAGTGAGCATTTCATCATTTCAAATGTGAACTACCAGATTTGTGACTGCAATGATAATTTATATCTTTTGAAATCCAGATTACATGAAATCGCATAAAAACTTACCTGTGCTTTCATCAGAAGAGAGCTTAATACACAGAACAATATATTACAATACATTATGCAAGATACAAATTCTGTAGGGTATATCCTGAAATGGGAAACTTCCATGAGAAAGAACCTTAAGCTTCTGCTTATTCATTTCAAATAGGAATCAGTGAAGAGCACAACTTAAAAATGAATCTCCGGGTCAGTGAGTATGAACAACTCACTTTTCAGTGGTGTGCAGATTCCATAGAGCCAAAAGAGACTGAGTTTTTACTAATGTCATTAACTGACCTAAAAATACTCAAGAAGAAAATACTGTTTTTTCAATTTACAATGCAGAAAAATTACTCAGGAAGTCCAGCATCAGATTCAATATTGCACTTTATTGTCTACCAACCACAAAAATTATACTACTAGCTCAGGTTCCTGAACAAATAATTTTTCTTAAAAAGCTGTAGCACAACTGACTTACAGTGATGGTATTCTTCTGTGAAAAAAGGAGATGAGTACGTACATGGTTTAGGAAATGAAGCATTTCAACTGGAGTTTTCTTCTTTATGAGTTGATGCTTTACTTGGATTTGTAATTTAACTGGTTAAAGTTGCCACACTTCAGTAATGGTCACCTCTTGCAAAAACAGCAATGAAGATTCACCAGCCCAGGTCCTACAGCTTTCCTCTGGAGCTGACTTCCCTGCTTTGCAAAGACTTTTCCTACATGGTTACTAGGACCGCATCTATTATTTTTAATGAAACAGTTTGATTTTGGAGATGTACATTTGACACATTTGCAGATAGTATGGGTATTCATCACAGATCAGATACTGTGTTGCTCAGCCAGGGAGCCGTAGATGGGGTTGCAGCCTGAGTGTTTACCTTACGTTCTTAAAGCAGATTTATTCACAGAAAGTTTTACTAAAAATCTTTAATAAACTTCTCTGTATGAAATTACTGAGATACTAATATGGTAGTAAAACCTACCAGTGTTAAATCTGCACCAGGTTCCACTTCTTTTTCCTGTCCTTCTCACACTGTGGTGATTTAGGTTAAAATTTGCAACAAGGATTTGCTCTGCTTGCATCCCTGGTTAGGCACATTCCACTCTACACATCAGGACTAGTGTAAAAAGCCTATTATTGGATTCCCACAATGTGCAGAACAAGGGCTTGAGTTGTGGACATTGACTCCT